TAAGGAATATTTTACAAACAATGAAGCTTTTCACTATAGTTCTTATTTTCCAAATAGTGGTAGACACTCCCGTTATTGGCACCATTCATTAAGTTTCCCAGTGTACTTTTGCTTCATATTGTACAGAACACATGAAGAACTCTGGAGTTGGAGACCAAGTTTAGTCTAAGACACTCTTGCAATTTAATGAGCGTGATCAGGGAAGAACTGTTAGGATGTTTATAGTACTTGTACTTTCACCTGTAATAATTGGTTTGAACTAAGCTTACCTTACTTTCCTACATATCTTTGTGTGCTAAGATGTTCTATCATATTTAATAAATTACAGATCAGACTTTAGTCTGATTTTTCTCATTAGCTATGCTTTCTAGCTGAGAGTTGTATATAAACATACTTGGTTATGCAGATACGAGTAGCTAGGATTACAGGTGTGAGCCACCAGTGACCGGCAACAAATAATGTAATTTTTAATGTACATTTTTATGCAGGAGAGAAAAGTAGACTTTACTGTGGACCAGATACACTCTGAAAACACTTTGTTCAGTCCCTGCCCTTACTTTCAAATACTTTGTTTTCTGAAAATGAACCTCAAAATTAATTTCAGGAAAAAAATCCAAAGTATAAAGAGGAGGGTTACCATTTGAAAACATGTCAGAATGCTCACTTGTTGAAGGTTTGGTCATTTGTTTATGCAGGGTAAAGTAGATGCTGTATAGATACCACCTGTATTCCTTTGGCCTCTATCTCAGGTCCTTAGCATTTCAGTGTCTGCCAGTCTGATTTTCAATTGCTGATATTTGTATTTCTTTGTCTTCATACTGGCCCTGGTAGCCTGCACTTACCTATGCAGGCCAGCATTGCATTGCCAGAGAACTAATACTCACTTCACTTCCTTTCCCCAGCTTTCAACTAATGAAAGACAAGAGTGGGTGTATAACTACTTTGCCCTCAAGAGGTAATCTTGCGATGCATTTCTACACAGATTCTCAGAATCCCCAGAGAGACTGAACTGCATTTACCCACAGGGCTAATTTCCTTCTGGTGGTTCCTAGGATTACTTCCCAAATAAACTGTGCCTGCACTTGAATAAGGTCTTCTTCTGGGGGAATCCAACCTAAAACATAAAGGCATGTTACTTTAAATAAATTCAATATTGAACCTTTAATTTGCCCAAAAGTTAGATTTACAGGGTGATTTTGTTTGTTTTATAAAGAGAATCCTTTAAATACAGCCCATATTCATACTCATTAAGGGTATTGAAAATGTTCATTTTTACTCACAGCTTCTAAGAACCATGCTTGTGTAAAATAAAGCAAACTTGTTTAGCCTAACCCGTGTTGTAATCAAGAGTTACTTCTGGGTAGTAAATTTTGTGAAATTGAGTATAACAGTATAGAAGAATTTTAGGGGGTATATTTTAATATTTAAGCTACTCTTAAAAGTTGATTACTGTAATTTGAATGCTACCTGTCTGGTAGGCAGGGAGACTATGTAATTTGTTGTCTACACTAGAACTTTTGATATTAAATGGTTATATTATTAAAATTATACTGAAATAAAAAAGTAAGAGCCAGCACATAATGGTTATCCTATGTGTAGATGACCATATTATTCTTTAACATCTTGTTATTAATTTGTATTGAGCAAAATTGAAGCATGGTGGAAAAATAGTATTTTTCATTTTAGCATCTTTGCCTTTACATAAATGATGTGGTATCAACATTGTTGGATATTTCTAAGTATTTTAGAAAGTCTTAAGAATTTTTGACTTAAAGATAAAAAAGACTTTGAACAAAAACATTGAGAGTGGACTCATTTAATACATTGTGATATTTATATAAGTGCTGACAATATAACTTAGTTAGATTTACCCCTCTATCGTTCTCTCTTCTCCTCTCTCCCCCTTTCTTAGAACAATTTCAGCAGGTTTCATTCTTCCATTTTCATATATGAATATAAAATACATCCACCATATTCACCTTCCTAACCCTTCCCACTGATAACCACCCATGGAAAAGACCTGTTCTACCCTCCTGTCTTTGAATTTTTGAATAAAGTGTATATTGATAGTCCAAGAGGGTTTTGCCTTGGCATCTCTTATCCATGTACTTGCATAGCATCTGCAAAGGCCCTGGGTTCTAACGCCAGCATTACAAAACAAAAATCAAAACAATCCAACTACCACCAACGAAAAACCTGTTAATCCAGGTTTGTTTACCTCATGTTCCCATAACTTTTTAGGGGGGAGGTGTTAATAATTAATTTCTGAACTCTAAATTATTATTGTTTTTTTGCTTTTTTTTTCTTTTGAAATAGGGTCTCACTATGTGGCCAGGTTGGGCCTTGAAATTGACATCTTCCTTTCTCTGCCTTCTAAGTGCTGGGATTACACAGGTGTGCACCACTGTGCCTGGCTCTAAGTTATTTTCATGGGTTTTTTTTGGATCCTTTTAGTAAATAGTTTTCTTCAGAGTAGTTTTAAAAAACATCATTGTGAAGTTTTTAATCTAGTATATGGCACCTAGTTAGGTATTCAAGAAATGATGGTTAATAAGAATGAAAAAAATAAAGATAGTGAAAATAGTTTCTAATTTATATAGATGTGACTTCAGGTTCCAATCTAGTTACAAATTTTGAGTATTTTGGGAGTTTTTCCTCTTCTGAGATAACATATAGTCTTAAGTGGCATTTGAAATGTTAATGGGTTAGACATCATTAATAATAAAAAATAAATTATTTATAACTTTTCTCTTTATTTCTTAACTCTCTCAAAGTTTCCCTGCTGATGGATGACATACATTTTTTTTTTTGTGTGTGTGTACCTAGTATGGTTATCTTGCCCCATCAGCTGCTTTGTCTTTATAGGATGATATTGGAACCTATTTTGGGTCATTGAACAGATGACTTCTCTAAACATAATTGTGAGTGGTCTGTTTTATTCAAACTTAAAAATTCAATCGTTAAAAAATTCAATTGCTGACAGTACATTGGCAATTACCATTTTGATCTTCGAAAGTTGTGAGAATAGGAACTCTGTCCTTTTCATCTTCAAGTTTTCAATGCATGCTGCTGAGTAAATAAATTATATATATATATATGTATACATATATAAACACACATATATATTTTCTCTTCTTCCACTTCTGTCTCCCTCCTATTTCAGCCTGGAATTCAATAAAGCTTTCAGTATTGTTTAAATGCTGTCTTGTACTACTCTGAATTAAAAAACAAGCTAAAAGGAAAAGGAGTGGAATGTATCTTCTTACTAAACAAAAGAAAATTGCTTTTATTTCCATGTACCTCTTGATTTATTTTTGTTTATTATTGCTCTTATGAACCTTTGATAGGAAGGTTTCTGACTGCTCTCCTGGATGGCTTTATTTTGTTTTCCATATTTCTTTTTCAAATTTTCCTGCTTATGAAATCTAGACAATTGGCACAAGGACATTAGAACCTCATATGAATACCTAATAAGGGAATTAGACTAGCTTGGTAACTAAGAAAATGTTTTATTTCTTTGGGAAAAACTAGCTTTTTTAGGTTTGTGTGACTCATAGAATATCAGGAAGGGGGTAGCATAAGTGTCTTAAACTCTAACATAATCTGTAAAAACCTAATTTTTCCAATTATGGCACTTTTTCATTTGTGCCTTCTAATGTATACCCAATATGCCACTGGATTCATAAATCCCCCACTCCAAATGAGAAAAAAATAAAACCTATTTAGCTTTGTTTTTGTCAGGCCATTCCTCTGTAATCTAGTTCCTTATTTGCTGACAGGATGTATGTTGACTAATTGTTTCTGTGAAAGGAAAACCGTGCCTTCTTTTAAATTGCCTAATGCAAAAAGAAAATGTATTTGTATATATTTTTCCATGAAAAATAAAGAAATTTATTTAGTAAAGAAATTAGACTTCCCTGTGGTAACACCTGTTAAACTACTCAAGCGTGAAAACATATACATGCATAAAATACCCTTATCTATCAAGAAAATAAGATATTTCTTAGCTTCATATTAGCTTTTGCTCTTTCTTCATTTAATATTGAACTACATCTTCCCAATTATATAGGTTCTTAAATATTAGTGCTTCAATTGTCCTTTTGGCCTCCGTATATTCTCCCAACTCACTACCTACATGTGCACATACAGGTATTGCTTACTATTTCATTTCAAATGTAGACATTATCATATAAAGCATTTCAAGGGCCCATCTGTAATCATTGTTATAATATATGCCTAAGATTATTTTTTTTTATTTAGCCAGTCCAAGTTAGGCAATGGTTTTGTCTTTGTCAGCAATGTTGTTAATAGTTTGGGCTTATTTTTCAGTGAGTATTTTGGTAATAGTGAATTAAAAGAGATTTAAATTTCTTTGATCATTATTTTTGTTATTGCTTTAGTTCTTTCTTTTTTTTTTCTCAGTTCATATAATTTATTGCAGTTAGCGCACAGTTTAAAAATTCACCAACACACCAGTAGTACAAAACTAAACAGCATTATAAGTTATTCCCCTCAGGAAAATAAAACAGACTGTGATTGTCAAAGCTAGTTGTCAGTCTAAGTTTTCGAACAAAGGAAGAATGTGAAACTAAGTAAAGGAAAAAGCAATCTTTCTTGATTTTACTAGTTCTGTAGAGGAAATTGGATGGAAAATGTAAATACATTATAACTAAATGATTATACTGGCTACAATTTCATAATAGTTTGATAATAAGTACTTAGATCAGTTTTAGGATGCTTTGGTTTAGGATAATGAGGTTGAGAAAAGAATTGGCATATAAAAGTGATACTTAAGATTCATGGATGTCAAGAATGACTTAGAGGTTAGAAATGTAGAGGAAATTTAAAACTGTTAATTGGTAAAAAAGCTGTTTTTAAAATCCACACGTGTATAAAAACTAAAGACAACTATCCTGTGAAAGTTAATTGTTTCAAATTAGAAACTAAATTGACAGCATAATCTCAACTTTTTACATTTTATTAATTTTTTAAAATTTCAGTTTCAGTCTGATGGAAGCAAACAAGAAGATAAAGAGAAAACGGTAAGAGACTAAAAAAATCGAATGTTTCCAATGTTTATACAACATACTGCAAATTTTACTGTGAGCAAGCTTTAATCATTTGTGTAATTATTTTATACTTGAGATGCTGAGTACTACTTTCAGCAGCTCATACCAAGTTATCTTTTAAGATTAACATCCTTTTTTGAATTATTAACATGCTGAGAAAGGAAGAAAGATATGTTTGTTACTCCCTTTCCTTCCCTCACCCCATTTACTATTTAGCACAGAGAAAGAACAATGGTAAGGTGTTATGACATGAAGAAATAGTATTTTTCCCAAGGCTATCACAGACTTTATTTCGAGGCTAGATTAATGTGGACCTCTTACTGAAATGATTTTTCTTCTCTTCTTCTTAGGAAGTTATCCTTAGCTGTTTGCTTAGCATTACTGACCAGGTATTACTTCCATCTCTTTCTTTGATGGACTGCAATGCTTGTATGTCTGAGGAACTGTGGGGAATGTTTAAAACATTTCCCTATCAACATAGGTAAATATGTTACTTTCATATTTTTACTACTAGTAATTGTACTGTATTAAACTCTCAAGGGTTTGGCTTTTCCTAATTTTTCATCTCATCATTTTTTAAGATACCGACTATATGGCCAGTGGAAGAATGAAACTTATAACAGTCATCCACTTTTAGTAAAAGTGAAAGCTCAAACAATAGACAGAGCCAAATATATCATGAAGTAAGTTTTAATTTATTTTTCTTTTATTAATCAAAATTATATCTGGATTTAATTTGCTTCATAATTTTGAGAAAGCTTATGAATATTTTCTAAAGGTATACTTGGTTATATACTGCAGAGAGAGTGTCAATTTTTGTGATTTTAGCTCATCTTAATTACCAAGTTAACATTTTCATAGTTTGCTAGGTTTAAAAGCTAATACACATCTTCTTTAATTCATCATATTATAAATTGAGTGTTTCAAAAGGAAGCTTGTCATGGTCATTTCTTTAATTTGTATAATATTTGTTAATATTTGTGAAAGGTAGTCAAAGATTTAGAAATTTCCTCCCCTGAAAATTATCATAATAAAGATGTTTCATCTTCTAGGAAAAGCTAATGAAATTATGGAGAACTGTCTCCATAGGGAAGTTGAGAAATTTCTACTTTTTTCATGTTTTTATAACTACATCATTAAAATATAAGAGTGATGTCAGTTCTACTTCCTGGTAGACTATTTTAAGTTTAATTGTAAAAATTGTATACTTCAGATTTGTATCAGTTTAGATACTAAATACACTTGTTGTTTTGCATGTGTTTTCAAGAAAGCTATTGTGATTTGTCATTTTTATAAATTCATGTAGTGGTGTGGTCATCATTCTATTGAAAAGTCATGCATTCTCTAGTTTAACAATGATATTGGTAAACTCTAGTATGCAATGATATTGTCTTTGTCCAATGATACAATCTCTGGTCACAGTTTGCCAGGAAAATAGGCATGTGTTCAGTCACAGTCTGGTAGTAGTTGCTGTTATTCATTATAAAGTGCTATGGGGATATAGATAAGAGAATGAATTATTTCCCTAATTAGTTACTGCAGGAAGAAGTTATTGCAGGGGAGGATGTTTGGTCTAGTCCTCCTGAAAGAGTTCTGATCTTAAGAATTCTCCAGGTACAGTTTCTAGCTTAACAATAATAGCCAATATTTATAGAGCCATTACCATGTGTGCTAGGTACTGAGTTAAATGCTTTACTAGATTATTTAATAATATTAAGTATTACTAAATTTGTTAAATCCTTCTCATTCACTCTGTCTAACATCACAACCTTAGTTGTTTTATCTGGAATATTATAATGCCTCATTTTATTCTCACTTCAAAATCCTTTGGTGACTTGACCATCGCTGGTGGGTTGTATGTCAGGTTTTATGGAATGGTGATGTAAGAGAAACACCTTGACTTTTCCTTCCCTACCTCCTGTCTCATTCCTTGCCAATTCGACTTCCAGCTGTACTGAACCTACTTCTGTTTCCCTAAATGTACCATGGATTCCTTAGCTTCACTTCCTTTGCATAAATTTTTTGTTTTTTTATTTGTACGGGTTTTACCTTACCTCCCTTTCCCTTTTTCATCTGGCAATTCATCCTTGGAGAATCAGCCATCTGTAGCACATACTGCCAAACATAATTGCTTGTCCTTTATTTGTGCCACCAGTATCATACAGGCAAATCATGTTAGCATACTACTTAGGTACATTGATTTATTATGATGGCTTTTCTTTCTGTAATTAACTTTTGAAATCCCTATATGGTCACATGGTTTCATTTCAGTAAATATAAAGAGATATACAGACTTCACATACAAATGATTTACAGTATTTGTTTTTCTGTGCCTGGCTTAGTTCACTTAGCATAATGTCCTGTACTTTCATCTGTGTTGCAAATGACAGAATTTCCTTCACTTTTTTTGTCAATACTGGGATTTGTTTTTAAAATTTCTTGAATTTTTTTTCCAGAAGTATGGGTGCTAAACTCATGGCTTCATACTTATTGGCAGATGCTCTACCATTTGAACCACTTGGGGTTTGAATTGATGGCCTTGCACTGGTTACACAGAGCTCTACCCCTTGACTACTGTCTTCAGCTCAGAATTTTCTTCTTTTTAAAGTTTGTATATAGTTGAAAGGTAGTTATTGGAGGCTAGAGGGGAGAGGGAGATGTGGGGAAAGGACCAATGTTGCTTAATGGGTGCAAAGTTTCAGTTTGAATTTTTGCAGTGCCTACATAGACCAAAACATGCATTGCATGGTGGTGCCCTACTGTAATCCCAACATTTGGGAGGTGGAGGCAGGAAGAGCATAAGTTCAAGGCCAACCTGGACTATATATCAAGGTTCTGTCTCAAAAACCCAAAATAAATAAAACCCCCCTGGAAATTATCACATTGTGTCCCAAAACTGCAATAATTTTTAAAAAGCTAAAATGTCTCTCATCCTGTCTTCTATCCACTCAGTTCACTTTCAAAGGAAAAAAAAGGTAAACCATTACTTAGATTCTTATTTATCCTTCCAGTTATATAGAAAACAATACGAATACATTATTGCCACTTTTTATATTATTGATAACATAGATACTGAAAATTTTAAAAAAGAAAACAATATAGAGGGCTGGAGGAATGGCTCAAGTGGTAGAGTGCTTGCCTAGCAAGTATGAAGCCCCGAGTTCAAACCCTTGTACTACCAAAACAAAACAAAACAAAACAAAACAAAAAAAACCTTGATAACATTTAGGGCTGGAGGTATGTTTTAAATGGCAGAGCACCCACTTTATAAGCATGAAACCCTGAGTTCAAACCCCAGTCCTACCAAAATAAAGAAAGAGAGAGAGGGAGAAGGGAGGGAGGGAGGGAGGGAGAGAGAAAGAGAGTAATTGAGTAAGACAGTAAGAAAAGAAAGAAACAAACTTTCCCAGTGTGGTGGTACACGCCTGTAATCCCAGTTAATCCCAGGTCTTGGGAGGCTGAGGGAGGAGGATCAAAAGTTGGAGACTAGCCTGGTCTACATAGTGAAACTCTGTCTCAATGAAACATAATGAAGCAAAACAAAACAATATAAAAATTTTAAAATTGGCTTTAAAGCTGTCTCCCTGGCTAGACCAAGCTTGAGAACAGGGACTGTTATTCATCCTTGTATTCCTGATGCTTAGCACTTTGTCATAATAGGCATTAATATGACTGAGTGCATAAATGAATACAGTATAATTTACCACAGCAATATGTGTGGAATTTTTAATATACTTGGAGTTTTGTTACATTTATAAGCTGCAACTATTTCACCAGGCTTGAACACTATGAGCTTGCTGCTGCTTGAACTTGGAATGTATTAATGCATAATTTCACAAGGTTTTTAAGCTGCTTAAAACATGTGCTTGAGGGCTTGAGGTGTGGCTTAAGTGTTAGAGGACTTGTCTAGCAAGGATGAAACACTGAGTTCAAACTCCAGTACCACCAAAAAAAAAAAAAAACAAAACAAATTAGAAAAACCCTAAAGTCAGAGACATGAGCTTGCTAAAGGGCATTGAATCATTTATTCTACAAATGCTCATTGATTGTGTTTTATACATCAAACATCATTGTAGCTTGAGAATAAGACATCATCCAGAAAGTATTACTTTAATTTTTGTTTGTTTTCCCACCCAAAGGTGGTGGAGCAAGAGAATGGAATAAAAAGCAGGGGGGCTGGAGGTTAAAGCCTTACCAAGTAGGAGGACCACCTGAAATCATATTAGAATGAGGGACAGGTGGTGGTGGTAAGTTTGAAGATTGAACAGAATATAGCCAAAGTTTAAAACTAATGGTCTCTTTTCTCCATCAGAGTGGGGAGGAAGGAGGGAGAAACTTGAGTGTGAAAAATGGGGAAGAAAGCAGCTAATGATGAAATTTTAATTAATGGATCTATTTTTTTTTACAAGAAGCTTTTTTTATTAGCATATACTAATTGTACAAAGGGGGTTCATTATGCTATTTCCATGCATGCATACAACATACTTTGATCATATTCACCCTTCTATTATTATTATCCCCCTTGCAAGAAGCTTCTTAAGATAATTATATCAAATTTTACTTTGAGAATGTTCACGTTCTTTGAATTATAAACTGAACTCATAATTTATTTCATTACATTTTCATTTTAGAAAGCTTCTTACCTTTAACTTGTAGACTTTTTATGCTTCAAGCTTCTAAATTTTTTATGCAGTAATCTCAGAAAAGTTTCAGATTCTGTATAATCATTGGTTTCTGCTGTAAGAATTTCTTCGATATAAATTTTTAGAACTTTTTTCAAGAGTACTTAGAAGAACAAATAAAGAGGAAAGAAAGACATATAAATTTGGTATTAAAAATTGTTTACCTTGGATATGAAAATCAGAGAACTTTTGATATCGAGGAATGCAGTATTACCTATTACTTACTCTATTAGGGTCACTGAGCTAGATAGCATGAGGCATTTCGTTGCATTACGCCAAATTTGATATTTTAGTCCCTAAACTGATTAATGAGTGCTTCTAAATCTAAAACAATTGTGACTCTTTTCTAAAAGAATTTTATGTGCTTGAGAGAATGTTAAGAGTTTTAATGCTTACTAGATTATTAGTATAAAATGGTAACATTTTATTAAAATGTTAAGTATTTAATATAACCTCTCAATACCCTCTGGTAGAATCCCTAACCAAATTGCTCCAGCTTTTGCAGTAGAGTATATGGTAAATGCAGTTGTTTACATGGATCCATTATGTTTATTTGGGAAAGAATTCCACTCCCCCCACTATGATGTAGTAAAAGGTATCAGCATTCTGAGTAATATTACTTAAGATGATCCCTGCCACCTTTTTCTCCCTTTGTAGGCGTCTAACCAAGGAAAATGTGAAGCCTTCAGGAAGACAAATTGGGAAGTTGAGCCACAGCAATCCAACCATTTTGTTTGATTATGTATGTTTTGAGATTAATATCATTTTAAGGGATTTTTCTTTTGGTTGTCTTTAAATCAGCAACAAGTGGAAATAGAATGATGTAGTTTTTAAAATGCTTGATAGTTTTAGGAAAAAAAATTTAGGAAATGTAAATGCCAGGTTATGCTAAAAACAACTTATTGCAGGATATATTTAACACATTGACCTCTTTTTCTAGTCTGTAATAGTGCTAATATTATTAAACAGTTTAATGTTTTCTTGAACAAGTTTTGATTTCTAGCAGCATTTTTTACACTTACCAGCATATTTTAATTGATATTTCCATACATGCCTATAATATATCTGGATCAAATTCACCCCCATCCCTCCCCTCGTCCTTCCTTCCCACGTTCTTAAAACAATTTCAACATGTTTCATTGTTTTGTTTTATACTCATACATGTGTATAAAATACTTAGCGCATATTCATGCCCCCTTCACCAGCTCTTTTTGCTCTCCTCCCTCTTGAAAGTACTCACCCACCCCCAAACTGGACTTATTTCATATTTCTGTCTTTCGTTTTTAAGGGCTAGATTTTGCACATGAGAGAAAACATTTCATATTTGTGTTTCGCCGTCTGGCTTACTTTGCCGAACATGATGATCTTTAGTTCCATTCGTTTTTCTTAAAATGACATAATTTCATTCTAGAAGAATTTTCCTTTTTAAACCTTAGTTTTTAACAACATGGAATAGCATTTCATTGTGATTCAATTGTAACACTAGTTCATTTTAGTAAGATTCTAGCCTCTATCATTCAAAAACCCAAGTTTAGACCCCCTGGAATTATTTCCTAGTTGGAAAATGTAGCCTAAGAAAATATTCTCTAAGGCAGTGATAAAATAATGTTTTACATAAATAAGAAACAATAAGAAGCCATTAAATTACTTTTTTATACTTTTTCCTTTGAAAAAGTATAGCATAGTAGAAGTCCTCTTCTGTTTTGCTAATGCTATATATTCTTTGTTGTTGTCTTCTAGATCTTGTCACAAATACAGAAGTATGATAACCTAATAACACCTGTAGTAGATTCATTGAAATACCTCACTTCATTGAATTATGACGTCTTGGCCTGTATCCTTTCATGTGAAGCAATGCATTGATTTCACATTTCATAGATCTTAATGGTGAACGATTTATTTTCATTCTCAGTCCCTTTAGTAACCCTCTCAGGTTGATTGAAGTATCTGATCTGAAATCTGGCCAGTCAAAAATGGGAGAAAGATTGAGTGTGTGAGCAGATACATGAGTGCCTTTGTTTTGTGTAAAGGGATAAACATTAGGTTTACCAAACATCCTGATATAGGTGAAATCTATCTTGCTTGCTGAAAGATGGCAAAGAGGCTAAAGAAGAAGTTGTTGATACTACAATAAGTGTATTTGTCAATACTTTGTAATTATTTAATGAAAACCATTTTATATTTTCCTAAAATATGGAGTTTTTTGCTTGTTTTAAATGTTGGAGATGTAGTGATAATTTTTTTCTTAATGTATGAAAGATTGTATCATTGAAGCTTTGGCTAATCCAGAAAAGGAGAGAATGAAACATGATGACACAACCATCTCAAGCTGGCTTCAGAGTAAGTATTTTTATTTTCCCAAGGATGAAATTACTGTTGGTAATAGCTACTATCCTTTGTATTGTTACCTATGCTTGGAGTTTTTTAGGAGCTTCTTTGTCAAGAGGTTGTCAGAATATCTTGTTCTACAAAGTGTCCAAGTCCTTGGCTCTTTAAGATTTATATAGTACTCACTTTCCTTATTCAAGAAGCTATTATTGACGATGACAGAATTTGAGGAAGCATTACTGGGGAGATGAAAATCCCTTTCCTTGCTGGGTGCTGTTGGCTCATGCCTGCAATCCTAGCTACTTGGGAGGCTGGGATCGGGAGGATTGTGGTTTGAGGCCAGCCTGAGCAAATGTGTTTTGAGACCTCATCTCCAAAATGACCAGAGCAAAATGGATTGAAGGTGTTGCTCAAGCTGTAGAGCACCTGCAAGTGCAAAGGTTTGAGTTTAAACCCCAGTCTCATCTCCTCACACCCCCCCCCCGTCCTCTTCCTTTACATTTTTCACCATCATCTTTTTTTCATTTGTGAGGTAGGTCTTGCTATATAGCCTAGGCTGGCCTTGAACTTACAGTCTCCTTCCTCCACTTCCCAAGTATAGGGATTACAGGCCTGTGCCAACACCCTTGACTCCCCTTTTTAGTTATTGTTATTTGAGAGGAGATGATATTAAAAGAATTAGTCACTCTTCCTCCCCCTAAGTCCTGAGGTTTTCATCATCATAAAAGAACAAAAGCTTGACTGTTAACCAAAAAAATCTAGGCATGTTTCTTTTTAGTTGTTGTAACTTTGGTTTCTAGTAACAATTTTTTTTTTCTTTAAACCTGCTGAGTCAGGTTTCTAGTAACAATTTTTTTTTTCTTTAAACCTGCTGAGTCAGGTTTAAATCTTTCAGTGGCTCCCCATTGTCTGTAAATCAATCATGCAAGTTAAGTTATTTTGGAATCAGGTCCTTACTATTTTTGTCTCATCTTTTCTACTCCCCAGTATTTTAGATTTCATTAATAGTGACCTTTTTGCAGTTTTCATGATCACTTGCACATGTTATTCCCTCTACTTGCATAATCTTTCTTCCATGGCCACCCCCAGTCCATCTTTTGTTTGTTCATTAGATATCAACTTAGGAGTCATTTTCTTTGGAAAGGTTTGCACAGCCATGGAACCTTTGTATTTGTTTCAGTTTACATTTCTTTATTCCTCAGTAGACTGTAAGCTTCGTAAGGGCAGGACCTGTGATTTGTCTTATATCACTTAGGTGCTTAGCAAATAATTGTTGAATGAGGTACAGATTACTGGAATCTCATTATGTCTTGACTTGGGTTTCCTCTCCACTCCTGAGAAGGACTTTTAAAATTGATTTTTTATCTGCTTCTTCATCTAGTAATACTTTACCTATTCCCTTGGGCCTCTACACCTAGTACTGTGTGGCTAGGGAAATCTTTTTTGACTCAAACTCTGTTTCTCTTTTGAGACAGGATCACATTATGTAGTTCAGGCTAGCCTCGAACTCATGATCTCCCTGCTGCAGCCTTCTGAGTGCTGAGATACAGGCATACAACACCATGCTGGCTTGATTTAAACCTTTGGGGGATAGGCATTTTTTTTTTGTTGTCAAATACTTGAGTTTGCTCAGTGGTCTGCAAGATTTTGTTGTGTCCTAATTAATTTGCATGTATAGGTTTGAATCACTGCTCTACTTTTTGTATTATGTGACCACGAGCAAGTTACAAGACATACCTATTTTGAATTTGCCTCATCAATAGGTTTATAGAAAACTAAGATGATGTAAGGATTAATGAGCTAATTCAGTGTAAAATATATAATACAGTGTTTGGCATATGTATGCCCAATAAATACAAGCTATTACTATTATAAAACTCGGGGGCATCAGCAATGTAATTATTCCTGCCTTAATTTTGTTTTAGAAATTGAGTTAGTTGAAGAAATGACAGTGAGTTTTTTGTTTTATGAACTGTTTTTATTCTTACTCGTTTTTACTTCATATAGGTCTGGCTAGTTTCTGTGGTGCAGTTTTCCGTAAATATCCAATTGATCTTGCTGGTCTTCTTCAGTATGTGGCTAATCAACTCAAGGCAGGCAAAAGGTAATCATAACAAATTATATGTAAATGAAATTTGATAAGTATAGAGTACTTCTGGTATTTTAGAATATTGAGATTGCTATTACCTGAAAGACAATGGGAGGGGGTAAATTCAACTATGATATATTATAAGAACTTTTGTAAATATCACAGTGTACCCCCAGTATAACAATAATATAGTAAGAAAGAAAACATTATATTTTATTATCAAAATATCAAGGAACAATATTAATAAACCTGAAAAGTTTAACTTAAAGAATATAGAATTTTTTTTTAAGATCAGATCTCACTATTGTAGCGCAGACTGGTCTCAAACTTATTATCCTAATGCCATCAACATTCCAAGTGCTGGATTACAGTATATACCTGTATATATATGAATTCTCTCATTAAGAGAAATTATAATACATAAAAAGATACTTTTTCCAGAGATAAATGTAATATTTGACTATGTATGTAACTCATTAAAAAGATACTTCTACTTAATTCTTACCACCTATTAGACTTTTGTGTAAATGATTAATATAGGGTTGTATTCTATGTCCTTATGACAAAACATATGCCGTGTTGATTATATGCTGCTGGATAGTAATTGATCTTTTGTACACTGAGCATCTTTTGGGAACATGTTTATTTTAAGGGGGTATATAGTATCTTTAAAGCATAACTAATTTTTGAATTTGAACTTTAGAGATATTTAAGGCTTACATACTTTTTGGAGTATGCTCTTCTTTATAAGTACCGAAGTTTATTTTCTTGTGGGCCAGTATCAGGGCTTAGAGTTTGAATTAATATGTATATTAAACCTCATCACCAGCAGAGTGACTAGAGTCAGAGAACTGGAAATTGTTTTCAGAAGCTTTCAGAAAGCAAACAAGCACAACTTAAAAACAATGTGGTGTTCTAAACAAGCATTAAAAGCAATTAAAGCATTAAAGTAATTCTTCTTAAATTTTATTTTAGTTTTTGGTTTATTTGTTCATTTATTCATATGTGCATACATTGTTTAGGCCGTCTTTCCCCCCTTCTGCTCCCCCCTCCCCCAATTAAAGTAATTTTTAACAGATTCTTACTTGAGTTCATGAAAGGTTTTCAAGAATGTATAGACAAAGGATTTTGTTAGCATATCGTTCCTAATCATATCTCTCAGCTATTCCTGTACATTTTATTCTTTTTTGTCTACAGGCCAGGATGGCACATGCTAGTTTTTAATCTGTAACTCAGTTTTTTGATATTTGTGACCGTCTAGTATACTAATTTGCATAAGGGCTGTCCTATTTGGAAAATGTATAAAAGGAAAACAAGGCAAGTTGAGAAAATAAGCATTTGATGAGGTATTAGAAAACTATTTCTTTGTCTGTTGCTTGTATCTTGGACATGTCTGCTTTTATCCTTGGAAAACTTATTTTAGAGATCACAAGGTCTTATTTCCATTGAAATTCATAATCAAGTGTGGGGCACACCTATAATCCCAACATCTGGGAGGCTGTAGTTGGAGTATCATGAGTGTGAGGTCTAGCTAGCCTACATAACAAGACTGTTTCTTAAAAAAAAAGTTCAAGTCTGTTGATGTATTCCTAAAATGTGCTTAGGGGTGGCCAAACAATATCTTGAACTCAAATATCACAACTTGGAACTTCACTTCCCTTGCATTTTTCCTTCCTACCCTCTCTGTTTTCTAAGTGGGTGTGACCATTCTACAGATGTATTCATTTTTAGCTTAGAGAGATGACTCTCTACCATCAAACATATGTTGGTCATTTCAAAAGTCTTTTTTTTGTGTGTTTGGCTGTACTGGGATTTGAACTCAGGTCTTCATGCTTGCTAGGCAGGCGCTCTATCACTTGAGCCACTGGCAGAGTGGCTCAAGTGATATTGGCCATTTTGAATTGGAGGAGGAGAAAGACATATCAGCTATCAGGGGTTAGCTGATAAGAATGAAGTATGAATGGTAGATGAAGTATTAGAGTAATTTAAATTGATTAAATTGATAATTATGCTATGGTTGTGTAAGAGAATAGATCTAAGGGAATACATTCTTATGCATTTTGGAGGATAATTGGCTGTGTTTTAAATAATTTATCCTCAAATGCTTAAAAATTAACGGTTTGTATGTTGGTCTGTGTCTTGTTCCTGTGACAAATAATTTAAAAAGTACTTGTTTTTTTAACAATTTAAAAAGAGGGAAGATATATTTTGACTTAGGGTTTCAGTTTTAGCCCTTGGTTTTCTGACTACATTGTTTCTAGGTCTGTGATGAGACAGCAAAATCATGGCAGAAGGGATAGTTGAGCAGAGCTGCTTACCTCATGGCAGCCAGGAAGCAGGGAGAGGGGAAGGAACGGGTCAGGGAAAAGATACAGCTCCCAAGATTTTCCCAGTCACCCAGTTCTTCTAGCTAGGCACCACCTCTTTTAAGTTTCCATAACTTAAAAAATAGCACTACCAGATGGGGACTAAGCCCTCAACAGATGAGCCTGTGGGGGCCATCTCCTATTCAAACCATTAACAGTGAGCGGGGAGGGGGAGAAAAATGGGAATGATAAGGCAGACGAGTAAAACTTAAAAATACGTGAAGTTGGGGTTTAGTGTATATGAGGTGTGCTTTGTACTATATTTTTGTATCCTGTCTATAAACTTGAAATTATTTCCAAGTTAAAATGGAAATAAACAAACATGAAATATTTTTCAGGGTAGCCCTAGGAATGCAGTTTCTTAAAAATCCTATTAACCCCTTCCCTGGTATTTATGTACAAATAATTAGGGATTGTTAGTATATTAATTACAATGTATTCTTTTATATTTGAAGTTTTAACTACAGTTTCTTTTTTATTTATTGTTTTGAAATAGTTTTGACCTGCTTATTTTGAAAGAAGTCGTACAAAAAATGGCAGGAATAGAAATTACAGAGGAAATGACAATGGAGCAACTAGAGGCTATGACTGGCGGGGAGCAGCTAAAAGCTGAGGTAAGAATTGCTATTTTTGTTTATTGAATTTTTAAATTTAAAATGTGTACTGTTTTTCCATTTTATAGGATTTCACTTACCCATAGTGAACTATGTTTTGAAATCATTAAAGGGAAAATTCAGAAGTCATTCATAAGTTTTAATTTGAAGTCTATTTTGTGTAACATGGCTTGGGACAGTAATCATCTCTTTGGCTAGCAGATCCATACTATGTAAGCTACCCTCCCATTTGTCATTTAAGTAGCCATTTGGTTGTCATATTGGCTAATCTGGCTTAGGAGTCTTGGTTGTCAAATCAATTGTACTGTAATATACTTGTGTTCAAGTAACCCTTACTTAAGTAGCCTAATGCTACCTTACAATGCCTGTGCCCTTCATGTCATCACATAGATGTTGTATTATCTCAGATCATCATAAGAAAGGTGAGTGTAGTGCAGTAAGGTATTTCAAGAGAGAATGACCACATTCATATAACTTTTATTATAATTGTTCTATTTTATAAGTTGCTGTTAATCTCTTACTGTACCTAATTTATATATTAAATTTTATCATAGTTATGTATGTCTAGAAAAAGTATAGTATGTATAGAGTTTGGTACTTTCAGTAGTTTCAAGTATCTGCTGTGGATCTTAGAACATATCTGCTGCAGATAAGGGGTTAGAGGGCTTATTTATGAACAGTCATAATAAAGAATCCAAACAGTATATAAGTATATAAAGCCAAATGTTAAATTCATAAGACACTTCCCTTTTTAAAAATTGAAATATACTAGTTATTACACCCTTTTTAAAATTTTCGGTGGCACTTAGGTTTGAACTCAGGGTCTCAGGCTAGGCAGGTTCTTTTACCACTTGAGCTACTCCCTATTATTGTGCCCTTTGAAAAAGAATCTGAAGGAACAAAAGACAGTAAGTCATATATCTATACCGAAAAGAAATACTAAATCTTCTGTGGTCCTTTTATCCTTCCTAGTGTAAACCTTAACATAGTTATGCTATTAAACCTCTTCTACATTGAATAAAGAATAATCCTTTGTAAGGGCCTACAGCAGGATAAATGGAAAATATGCAGACATTTAAGCACAATTGACAGTTATCTTTAAGCAAGAGTATTATTAATAATAATGTTGTTAAAATGAAGTTGTGAAGAAGGGATATAGGAATGTTTTATTTTAAAAATCACAGCTTAACTTCTGTGTCGTTTTCAAATTAGATGGCATGGGCTGCATACTGTATACCAGTAAATTTGTGTCTTCTCTTTGCAGGGTGGCTATTTTGGCCAGATCAGAAACACAAAAAAATCCTCTCAGAGACTAAAGGATGCACTATTGGATCATGACCTTGCTCTTCCTCTCTGTTTGCTTATGGCACAGCAGAGGAATGGGGTAGTTTTTCAGGAAGGTGGGGAGAAACATTTGAAACTTGTGGGAAAGCTGTATGACCAAGTAAGTTAAAGTGGCTTTTCTGTTGATGTAGTTTTTAATCCTGATCAAGGAAAGTAGAGAATGTGATATAATTTGAAAAATGTCATTTTTGCATACCATATGAATGTGAAACAGCTCTAACGTCAAATAGACATTCTGGAAATAGGGCCTCTATTTCTGTGCAATTATGGTATTTAAGAGACTGCTTTAGGAGATGTTATGTATAAGGTTTTCTGTTAGACATTCCATTTTTAAATCCCTTCAACTTCAAGTTGTTTTTTGCTATCTTGTCTTTCCTGATCTCTGGAAATCTGTATTTCAATCACAACAGAGTAGATGCTATCTCTTTTTTTCTTTGTAATATGGTCGGTGATATTTAAACACATTTAATGACTAATTGTAGGTATTAATGCTTAATATTTATGATTTTATTCTATATATATAAGGCTTCATCTTTAAATGGCAAAGGAGTTGACTTGTCTTTTCCTATACATATGATGTAATTTTAGGTAAATATTTTGGAACTAAAGAGAACTAATTTGCTAATAATGCACTGGATTAGTCAGCCTATCAGGGCTTTTGCTTTAATATGATTATACAGTTAAGTTTGTAGTTAGTGTCTAATCTCCTTTCTAGTTGTTACATTTTGATTCCTTTACTTTTTCTTTTTTTTTGAGGCAAAATATCACTGTGTAGCCTAGACTGGCCTTGAACTTGTGATTCTCCTGCCTCAGCCTCTAGAATTATAGGCATTTGCCACCATGCCCACTTTGTGCCTTTCTCTCTCTCTCTGGTA